GTGGTCGGTAATAGGCAGTAACACAGGGGGACACTAACTGGATGGAGGAGGAGAGGACACAGTGTGAGAGCCACCACGTCCCTCTCACAGCCCCCAAGCCAGCTGTCACCACTCTACTCATCTCTTTTCAAGGCAGAGCTTACTACCTTTAAGTCTAATATTTTCCCTCAGGAAATACTGAAATATTTTTTTTCTAAGTGGTGTTGACACTGTTTTGTCTAAATACTATTACCAAAATACTACCATCTACATACTATTCTGTTGCTAAATGTGAAATACTATTTTGCCGACACAGCTTTTCTTTCTGAAAGACTCATTCATATGAAAGAAATCATGTTTTGGATTTCTAATGGCAAAGCTTTGGAACATATGCACTTACAGACATATAAGCAGAGGAAAATAGTTAATTCCAAATGTTTGCAACCCGCTACATGCAAAAGCACCAAACATTTAAAATTTAAACATCTCTATAAATCCACTTCAGTAAATCAGAATGGAAATAACAAACAGAAAAGGCTTTATCAAGCAGAGCGATATTTTCCTTACGATGAGTTTTATAAGACACAAGCAAAGGATCATTTAAATATGCATTTAATATAGATTGAAAATGGAGTACATAAAGAGAAGAAATAAACATTTAAGCGTCAAACAGAAGAAATTCATAACAAAAGCCCTTTACATTTTACTTTTGTCATGAAAAAGTCTGAGTCACAACTTAACAGAAGTCCTGAATTAAGTTAAACCACAGCTGCATTAGGACCGCCACCAACGCGTAGACTGCCCACTCAGCTTAGCCCATTCAAAGTTTAATCAAGGCTTGAACCAACATTCTTAAAATCCAAAATGTATGGACTAAAAAGGCTTTCTTTCTCAGTCAAATGAGATAAATCTTAAAACTACTAAAACTACTGAATTTAAAATGGCATTTTGCTAAAGGTATAAAATTAAAAAATAAAAAACCTGACAAATCAGAAGCATTAAAATGTATATCTGTGAAAGAATCACCATGCTGATTTATGGCAAAGAACATCATATTTGTTTATCTAAATGCAGGGCATAATTAGGTTTTAAGGTTTCAGAAATACTTTCAAATAATTATTATTGAGAAACTGGAACATACTATACAGAATATTTCAAGACTGCTACCCCGCAAACAAGTTGAAATTCCTCCTAGTAATAGAAGTTTTTCAACATGCCCACTTTCCCTACTAGCATTAAATTGAGAAAGGTATAGAGAGAAAATAATTAAATGGTCTCTGAAGAACACTAGCCATTTAGTTAGGAGTTCTACTTCTGAATTATATAGAACATCTTGGCCTACAAATAATAGAATAGATTTTTGGAAAGAGTATCATTTTGGTCTAAAGAAATGCAGGGTGAGACTGAAGCCCTCAGCAAAAGCTCTAAAAGGTTACAGGAACTGATGAGTAACTCATGCTGGCTTTTAACTGGATTTT